AAGACTGAAGCTATGTATTGGTATCAGTTTTCTTATTTATTCTATAAATGGAACTACTGAAAAAAAGCTTTCACCAAAGGCTACATAATCAGTAGGTTACAGAGGCAGTTGCATGGTCTGGTAAAATATAATAAGCCATGTACATTGTTATAGCAGAAAATTCCAATAGGCAGCACTTTCTAACACCAGTTTGTAATTCCATAAAATGCAATTACACCACAGGCATTAATGGTTTTAATTGAACCAATTATGCTCTAAGAGGTAAAAGACTAAAAATACATACTAAATTATACAAAGTCTTTAGTCTAAATAACACTTGAGACTTAACAAAATACTTGTAGGCAAACATATCACAGATGGTCAAACAATGTAGCACAGCAATACCCTACACAAACACTATCACTTGGGGATTTTTTTGTTTGTTTGTTTGGTTTTTTTTTAAGTAAATTCTTATTTAGAGATCTAAATAATGTATGTTTGGGTCAAGGCTGAGCAGTTCACTATATAGACACTGATATCCCTTCATCCCAAAGAAGATACTCCTTCCTTGACTCAGGATCAGATTCAGGCATTCATCAAAAGAAAAAAAAAAAATTACAGATTTCTATTCTCCTCTTGAACACTATCTGCAACAGGCCCAGGTATGACAAAGTACTGAAAAGGGAACATGACCAGAAGTCTTTCTTCCTCCTAGTCACTCATTTGAAGAGGATGTCAGTCCATCCTCCATGCTTAGGGCATTACTAGGTCTTACCATCTCATTTTAGGCATTACTTCTCTAGAGAAACCCTTTGTTCCTATCAAAGCACTCATTCAGTATTTCTCGAGGCTTTATGAAAGAGAGGGAAAACAGTCAGTTGTCTAAAGCACAAAGTTACACTTTGCAAGAGGTTAAAGGAGACAGTCCTTGAAACCAAGAGGAACACTTTCAGAACTTGAGGCAACATCACGATTCATTTCATCATGGATCTGGCAATTCTCAAGGTGAATCAGGATAATCATATTACACTGCAGAATCCAGTCTGATGTGACTAAAGCCTGTCTGTCCTTCAGCAAACCACTCTGACAGAAATGAAAAACAAAAGAATGCACAAAGATCTCAGTATTAGCTACACTGCTGTGCATACCTGGTCACCATCCCATGGGTGAAGGAGCACAGCACAGGGCAGGAGAGGCAGGTGTGACCCCCTGCAAGAGAGCCCTGCACTTGCTCAAGGCATAGATGAGCAGGAACACACTATAGCCTCTCCAGAAAACAGCTTTTTGTTTTCTCGTCTGCCTACCTATGGCACACAGGTAGGGCCTGAGAGATGGGTTTCCTCAGAACACATGTGCAAAAGCTAACTTGAGGAGGCATGGGCTGCTCATGTCCACTCACAGTTTTAATCTATCTTCAGGTACAGGTAGCTGAGAACACCTAGAGAAAACAATGAGCTAGGCTGCACTCCAAGGGAAACAGGGAAAGCAGACCAGAAGCCACAAGGCTGCACCAAGTTACAGTATTAAAAAAAGAAATTTCCACAATTTGGGTAGCCAAACACAGGGAGAGGCTGTCCAAGACACACATTCTCAGGGACCCAACCAAACAAGGTCCTGAGGAGCCCAATCCAACACACAAATGGTCAGTCTTTGAGTGTGAGAACAACCAAGTCACCTGTGCAGCCTCTGACAGCCATGGTTACACAGCTACAAAGTCCTCTACTAACAATCACCTGGCCATGCTAATACCCTGCCACAGATAAGAGAGCAGATAAACTCAAGCCCAAAGGGCAACTCTGCAACTTGCTGATGTCACTGCCAAGATTAGGCCCCAAGTCTTTTATTTCCCATCACTTCTACAAAATAACTTTTACTAATCAAGATAAAGGGAGGACTGTATCACATCTTACTGCACAAGGCATAATATAAGGATGTCCACCAACAAATGTTTAAAAGCTTTGTTTCTCAAGCATCTTTAATCCTCTATCAAAAGCCTCAATTTTCATTTAGGCAATACACAGTATGACAACTATAAGCTGTAAAATTTCCATGACTCCATGATGATTCAGTTTAATATTAAGTAAGGTCAGTATCATTGCAAACTCTAAGAAGAGATTAAGACTCTACTACAGGAAATGCATCCATGTATATTGTATTTGATCAAGTCTCCTTCACTGCTACTTTTTCCCAAAGCTTCCTAATCCAAGTAAGTAAAATACTTCTAGTGCTACAGGGTGCCAGGCATCAAATCTGCCTCCCATAGCCTTTATCAGGAAAAACTTGACTGACCATCTGAACTGAGAGACTGCATGTACTTTTTCTGTCTAAACTATTCAAGTGTGAAAAAAAAAATGTCACTGGGCAGCAGTATCCAGAGCAAAGTTAGAGAAAGTTAGTCAACAATAACAGAAGGAATAATGAACAGATTGTCACTTGCTGAGCAGTTGAGTAGCAGCATTTCTACCCCGTTTTGCTACTCTACAAAACTAAATTAATTGCTAATTTAGTCCTTCTGTCCCACCTATGATGAGGCCATGGCAAGCAGCTGACAAACAAACTCTTAACACACAGATTTGCTTAACAGCACATATTCCTGGCAGCTTCATCACAGCCTTTTCCTGCACCACTATGGTGTAGAAAATCAGATCCACTGAGTTGTTTAACAAGTTCCATACCACAGTGATGGGTCATGCAACCACCAATTAAATGCATCAGGACCCTTCAGTCTGGAACAAAGATCACATAGCTAAGGATTTCTGACACAGCGCACACAGCTGTGCAGGACTGCTCACCACCTCCCCCAGCAAAGGAACTGGACATAAAGTAAGCAAATCCCACATACTGGAGGCCCTAAAGAACTAGTTCTTCACACAAGCAGCAATCAGGCTGCAAAACTCCTTTCTCCTGGCACTCTTGACAAAACTCACGCAAAGCCATTACATACGGACTGAATTAGAATTCACAGAAATCGCGATGAGCATTGCATGCAGACACTAACAGGCACTTCCCTGAACTTACAACTTCCCCTCCCTGTCACTCTCCACCATCCACACGGTGTGCTGCTTCTTTGGGCTTAGAACAAATCATCCAGAGATTGCCACGGAAGTCTTCCTTTATTCTTTTAAATTAATTAACAGGATACATGCTTGCACAGTAATTCAATGACAAGTGATCAACTGGAGATTCAGGAGCCAGAAAGTGATAAGATAAGAGTCAGGACCATCTGAAGCGCTATGCTCCAGATGCACAAACCTGAGAAGGACAGAAAAGTTTTGCAAACTCAATGTACTCAGTACAGTCATACTATCCTCAGAAATACAAACAGCACTATCCACAATATGACTGTTTTGATGGCAGGAACATTCAGGGAGCCCAAATGTTTTAATGAATATTTTTATTAAGAGCAAGATCTGCCCATTTATTAATTCCTACACCCTGGCTTCCCCACTGAAAAAATTAGGTGTTTTACAGCACTACCTGTATGGCCTGGAGCTTGTAAGAAACCACTGTATAAACTCTCAGTTGTTCTGTCATTAAGAGATTAGTTTGAGAAAATGCTCCGCAAGTCAGCGTAATAGTTTACTCAATCCTTAATCCTATTTTACAAGATCCAGACTTACCACTATTCAACACCAGAACCCAACAGGACACCTGGTAATGTTAAACCACGTAGAACATAAGAACAGGAGGAAAAAAAAAAAAAAAAGGCAAAAAAGTATTTTTCAAAGACTGAAAAATTAAAAAAAAACATATCCCTTCTTACATCCCTTATACACAGAGACTTTTCCAGACTTCTGGGACACAGGGCATTAGTCAGTGCTACAATTATTTTGATTGCCAGGGGACCACTAGTGAAACACAACGTAAACGTGCAACATAAAAGCTCCCAATGACCGTGTTCAATCGGAGGGTGAGGTTTCAGCAGCTTTTCCAGGCCAGCAGCCTGGCTCTGCAGGATGCAGGCCTCCTCTTGCCCAGGCTGCTACTATCAAGCTCTCACCCAGGCCCTGGACAGAGGGTCGGTGTCACTATTTCCACCGAGAGGCACAAAAAAAGGGATGCTCAGACCGGCAACCTGGCACCAACCTAATGCACACTCTGCTACTTCATGCATTGCAGGTCTGCCGAACAGCTGAGCTGGCGGTTCAGGGACACTTCAAAACATACGCCTGCAGGAAAATTCTCTCGAAAGGCGAGATTCAGGGGCAGTTTATTAACACATTATTGCAGCTAAACTCTTTTGTTAGTGATAGTAGCTCAGTGCATCACCCTCACACCCTGACTGCATCCAGCTCTGGGATCCCCAACACAGAAAGGGCACTGACCTTTTGGAACGAGTCCAGAGGAGGCCACCAAGCTGATGAAGCATTTCTCCTATGAGAAAAGGCCGAGAAAACTGGCACTGTGCAGCCAGTGAAAGAAAAGTCTTGGGGGTGACCTGATGGCAGCCTTACAGTACCTGAAGGGAGCTTACAGGAAAGACAGGGCTAGACTACTTACATGTAGTGACAGGTCAAGGGGAGACAGGTTCATGCTAAGACTAGGTTCAGGTTAGATATTAGGAAAAAAACTTCTTTATTGTAAAGCACTGGAACAGGTTAGCTAGTGAAGTCGTGGTTGTCCCATCCCTGGAAGAGTTCAAACCCAGGCTGGACGCAGCTCTAAGCAACCTGAACAAGTGATGGGTATCCCTGCCCACGGCAGGAAGGCTGGAACCAGATGATCTTCAAGGTCCTTCCAACCCCAACCCTTCTGTGATTCTCGCAAGCTGTCCCCGGCTGCGCCCCACGGGCCCGGCCGGCCCGGGCGCCGTCCCCCGCCCCCCGCCGCTCTCCGGAGGGCAGCGGGCGCAGCGCTGGCGCCCGGGGACTGCCGGGTCCGGACGGGACGGCCCGGCCCCAGCCCGGCCCCGCCAGGCCGGCGGGGATGTCCGCGGGCGAGGCCTCCCTGCAGCGCCCCAGCCCGGGAGGCCTCGCCGAGCCCCGGCCGCGGCTCCGCCCGCGGCAGCGGCGCCTCCGCCGGAAGGGAAGCGGAGCCGCCCCGGCCAAGGGGAGGGGAGAGCGCGGGGGAGGGGACACCGCCCGGCCCGGCGCCCCCAGAGGCGGGCGGGCGGCCGCTCCGTGCTCCCCTCCGCGCGGCGGTACCTGCGCTGGAAGTCGGTCCGGAAGGGCGCCAGGTAAGGGTCCCGCTCCAGCAGCTGCTTCAGCCTCGGCGGCTCCGTGCTGGCGGCGGCCATGTCGCCGCCGCGGGCTTCGCGTGATCCGCGGCGCCGCTAAATACAGCCGGGCAGGGGGCCGGGCGGGCGGCCGGGCGCCCCTGCCTCTCCCCGCCCACCGCCCGGGGCCGCCTCCACCGCCTCTCCCCGCCCGCGGTGCGGCGGGGCCGGGGCTCCGCGGCTGCGGGAGGGATGCTGGGGGTGCCCGGCCCGGCCCGGCCTCCCGTCGTCGGTGGGCTCGGTCCGGCAGCCCTGGCTCGCTGCCCGCGGGACGGGAAGGGGCCGCGGGCGGCGTGCGAGAAGCGCCGGTCTCCGAACGGCATGGCATGACAGCAGAGGAAATTTAAAAAAAAAGTATTTGCGGGAGCCGACCCGCCCGGCAGGAGGGAGATGTCTGCCTGCCGTGGCTCGGCAGTCCCTCAGTTTGTTTTCTTAGTGGCTCTTTGATGTCTTTTTCAGCGTGTCAGCTGCCGGGTGAACACTGTGTTCCCACACACATAAAGACCACTGCGCACCCCAGCCAACAGCAACACCCCCCCACTCCCCAAAGCAGATCTGGCATCATCATGAGTGCTGGAATAAATTTCTCGACTGTTTGATAGGGTGCTGACGTGCTCACAGACAGCTCAGCAAAACAAGACTCTGGGGACATCCCCGAGTTCTCAAACACTGTGTCTGTACAGCAAAATGTTGCTTTATCAGACACATAAATTCCAAACGTGCTAAGATCAGTCAAACTGATCCTAGTGCAGCTCAAAATGCTGAATGGCACAGGTAGATTGCTGTGGAATTTTTTGACCTAATAGCAACATGTCTTGTTTTTGGATAGGCCACCAGATATCCAAGGCAACTAATCACCAGCCTGACCATGCCTCTAGGCCAGCATTGAGCACTTTTATTTAAGGTCCAGCAATTTTGCTTTGTTTTGATATGTAGTGAGAAAGTTTATTTAGAGGTCTCTTTTGAATACTTTTCAGCTTCGAGATACCTTAACTCGTTCCCACAACCACCTCCAAAATTGTTGTCCTCAGTTTGAGACTCATCCCCATCTTGGCTTCCTGTGAATTTAAGTGCTGTTTCTCCTTCCTGACTGCCAGATGACTAACAGCACCGTGTCTGATGAACACTAACAGTTCATTTGTTACTTCTTCTAAAACTAGCTACAGTGAAAGTTTCCATAATGATTTGTTTCATCAACAGTGCATGCACACTTAACTGTATTTCCTTCCTTGTAGCAGTTTCTAATTACACAGGCAAAAGTCCGAGTACCTTTATTCTTTTTCTCCTTATGGAGTGCAACAAATATTCTGTCCTAAGACTGTGGGGCAATAGTCATACTGTTTGCTAGAGCAGTTGCCCTAACAGGAGGCCCAAGGAGTTTTGGTTTGATTAATGAAAGAAGCAACATCTATGCTGTAGCAGAACTACTTGTCATATATTGTTCTGATAGATGGAGATTTATTTTTTTTTTTTCACAGTGGCCACAATTTCTTCAGTCACTGGAGACAGAAAAACTGTTTCTAAAATTACCCAGGCTTCTCAAAAATTTTTGTGTGGCAGTGATTTCAGTGTCTGTGCTAAAACAATGTTTAACAACTCTTACCATCTTCTTTTTGCTTCTCCCTCATACTGTGTTCATCGTATTCTTCTGCAAATTCTCCTCACTCTCACACTTAAATAGCTTGGTCAACTAAAAGGAGAAGAGAAATTCCAGCTTATTACCAAGAGCCAAGAAATTGGATTTTTTACAATAGTTGCATGTTACATGTGCTGCTGCTTTGGAGCTTGCAGGTGTTTGGTACTGGAGAGGGCACCTGCTGGTTGAAGTGGAGGTGGGAGAACAATTCCTGCAGCCTCTGAATGCATGAACATTGGAAACAGGAGCTTCAGTCTTAGCACAGGTTCTTTGGTTTTATTCATTGTCAGGAAGCCCAGGCAAGTTCCCAGGGTTGTTATTAGGTTTGCAGCATAAACACAAGAGAGACATCTATAAATGTGCATTAGCAATTTGTGTAGGAATGTAGCTGTGACTTGCACCTCCATGGAGACAGGAACCCCTTTGTAACATTCATTTTAAGTAGAAATGACACAGCATCCAGCCTCATATGCAAGCAACTTGAACTTCAGGAAGTTAAATTCTGCAGATAGCCCCTGTCCTTCCAACAGACAAAGCCCCAGTGATATATTTAACACTCTGTGAACCAGAATATGAATAAGCATAACACTTGTATCTACTCATGTTTCATTTTACAACTTGGGCATGATTTTATCTGCTTGCTTTGTCACAAGTAACTGCAAGATACTAAGGCGTATGTTATTTTGAGCACCGATTACACCATGATCCTGGTGTTCCCACCATGAGCCGAGGTTGGCTCTCAGGACAGTGCCATTTAATCTTCTACCTGGAGGCAAAACTGACAGTTCGGACAATGAATATTGTCCCAACAGCTGAATGTGTCTTTGTGCATTTGTCAGGGATGGATACAAAGCTGACAGCTGCTGCTGCCAGTAGAAACAGAAAGAGAAGTACTGTTGGGAATAACTGCTCTTTTATGGGGACAGCAGTGGATCATATAAGAATGGTGTCTAAGGCATGTGTCTGGCACCCAGTTACCAGTGAGGCTGGAGTATGCCAATTACTCCAAAGTCTTTCAAAGGATGTTCATGCTTAAGTTATGTATACTTTAAAATTTTGCAGAGTGGTGCTTGAGCAGTAACTGTATTGTTAAATATAGTTAAATCTTTAAAATCAATTTAGATATTTTTTAGTACACAAAGTTCAAAGATAAATCTAAATGATAAAATGTCTACTTCTGTCCTGCAGCACCTCCATTTTGATTCACTAATATATTGCACTTGCTTTGCAAAAGATGACAGAGATGATAAACCGTAGGAACTAAGTCAGGAAAAAGATCTTTCTTCAATAAGGCACTGGTTCAGATTCCCTCATCAATAGTTTATTTTCATATTTCAGCCAGAATGGATCTGTGGGGTCTGTGATCTCTGACTGGCTCTTACAGAGCATATTCCTGAGCTCCAGGTTCTTCTAAAGCAAGTGGCTTACAGCAGTCCTGGGTCTTGGTCCTGGCCTGGCTCTGTAAGATGCTTCCAAGCCTGTCTGACTTGTCTTTGGGGTACAGGCTTCTGCTCTGCAGCTGATATAGGGACTGACCCAATCGCACAGTTTAACCTGTCTGAGAAGAGATGGCAGGTACCAAAGCCAGCAGGATATTTTTTTAACTCTGTGTTGAGAACATTGAAGAGTTGCTGATCTCTCAAAGTGACAAGTCATAAGGCATGCCCTTTGTATGGTCCAATTCAATACTTAAAGGCTATATCAAGACTTGTTATCCTTTTAGTCTGGGCAGAACTCCTCCCAACTCCTTTTCCTGGAAGTGTTTTTACATCTAAGTGTGGTTGGCCCACTGTGTTTGCTTGCATGTGGGGAGATGTATTTTTTATTGCCATTGCACCTACCCTACCTCTCACAGATGAGAGATAGTCCATGAGCAAGAGCTGACAACCTGTGAACTTGTGCCTGTACTGGATCTCATAATGCAAACTATCAAGAAAAGATGTTCCTGTGGACAGAGACAGCTGTTCAGAAAGATTTACACTTCAGTATTCCAGAATAATGGATTATTTAAGACTCCCCTATTCTATTAAGACATTTCAGACATCTGAGCATGTTATGGGTACCAATCCATTGTAACCTCCCACTTTTGGACTGGTTTCTTCACATTCAGTACCTAACGCAAAGTGGAGTTCAAAGTTTGAAGGAAAATTAGCTTATTTTGCCACATCAGCCAGCCAAACTTCCCCATGTTATTTGTTCAAGGATCCATGAGAAATTAACTGCACAGTTGTCATCCAGATGCAAAGCAAAAGCCCCCCCCTTAAAAAATAATAATCCTTTATCTCGGTAGTGTTCCTGGAGAGGTCAATCGTAGGGCATGGAGCTGTAGCTCACTGCAGGGTGGTTGTAGTAGGTGACCTTTAAAGGTCCCTTCCAACACAAGCTATTCTATGATCCCATGAGACTTATCCCTGTCTTTGGATTTGCCAAGGTGAGACACAGAGGAGAAAGGAAATGGTCAGTGTTGCACAGCTGCTGCCAAACACCGCATGACTGTTCCATAATTAAAACTGTACTACAGCAAGGATTCAACTGTTTGATTACATATGAAGAACAAAGCATATATCCTTGAAAATTGCAGCAAACAAGCAAATTGCAACAAGTATCTGTTGGTATGTCTATTAGTTTAGAGATGTCAGAATTTTAAGTTTGGGGGTTATTGGAAATGTAGGGTATTGATACTGTCTTTTAAGGCATCACCTTTGCCCTGCCGTGGTTTCAAGAGCTTTACATAACAACACATCTTCAAAGTTCACAACAAATACACAATCTGAAACACTAAAAAGCCAGTTTCAGCGTTGTAAGATTCCAGTAAGCACAGTTGATGGGAATGCCATTTTCACTTGCCATTCAGAGCAAAATAAAAACACATTCCAACAACCTGAAAGTCCTAAATAATGACTACTTCTTGTTTTCACAATACTGCAGTGTGATTATGCTTTGGTGTCCTTATTTAATATAATTGTCCTTATTTGTATAATATTTTGTATAATATAATTTTGTGTAATTATAAAAAAATGGAAATGTCTTTCAAAGTTGTTTACACATTAATCAAGACACTTCAAAGTGTGATACCAATTTTAAAGCATCCAGATGTAGAACAGATGTAGAGCAATATTTGTTGTGAAAATGTCTGTGAGTCTTACTAAAAAATCAAGTAAGAATTTGTAAAACAGTTCACAGATACAAAACACAAATAAAATCTTCAGTAATTTCATAATATTTTTGGATGTTGTAAATACTCTGTCTGTTGTATGCCTTCTATATTTCTCAAAAGTAATTACTGCCAATAGTAACACGTTACTACAACTTTCTGCAATTTCCTGGCATTTTCATATGTGTTTATGCATTGGAGGAAGACCATAAAACATTCTGAACTCTCTCCTTAATGCCATACTACAATACTTTGTAGCTGTCACCTCTGTTTTAACAATGTGTGTTTATCTCTAACACATAGAAAATGAGTAGCTTGAGCTCTCTGGGATAGTTGCCCCAGAGGAACAGTCTTGCTATTATTGCTGCAGATCCTGTAGCAATATATTACTATTAAACAAGCAACTTATTAACGCTTGCCAAATATTGTATTCCTTATATCCAATACAGTCAGAACTGAGAATGAAACCCCACAGCATCAGCCGCAATTTTGTTTTCTTGGTGTTCATTGTCAGGTCTTTCCTAAAACCCCTGAGGAATGATCTTACCTTGGGTGTTTCTTGGTTGCATAGTCCCGAAACACTACAAGCATTTAGGCTGCTTGGCCTTTTACTCAGAAAAGAAAGTGAGGTTGCCAGATAATCATTCAGAGGGTAACACATCTAATCCTTCGGGAGGTCAAGTGAGGTGAGAAGAAAGGAGATGCATACTGCTAATGCTCTGACAGCTCTGTCAATATAAATTCATTAGTATGTATAGAAGTATTTTAGATTTCAAACAGCAGAATAGTACCTCAGTTGTATTCATGAACTCAAGTCTCTCCCGAGTTCACCGCAGGAAAAGCAGATGTATCTGGTGCAAAGTGCGTGTGAAATGCAGCACTTTTGGAAGTCCAAAATGCTTTCCACAGACAGCCTTTTAGATCTCGTCAGTAATTAGTTCTGGTTTACTTTTTAATGGCAGCCAGTGGCATTTGACCCAATTAATTCTCAGGTATGACCAACAGTGTGTTGAGTGAACAGAAAGATAGGGCAGGGACAGATCCTTAATGCTACACTCAAAATTTTTCTGTAGTTAGAAGAAAACACCAAATATGGAACTAAGAGCTTGTTGTTAGTCTAATTAATATTTTAACACTATCATTTTTCAAAATATTGGGTAAATTTGGAAAAAAAAAACAAACCCCAACACCTTCATTAATAATGCATCTCTCTCTCTCTATATATATATATATCCAATGCATACTTGTTATTCAGAAAATGCTTTAGCACACAAAAGGGTCTGAGAGTTAACTATGTTTTTTTGTTTTAGATTATAACCAGTACAATAACTGAAGGTTCAGCCTTCACAATCCCAGTGATACAGAGCTACACTTACAGGTGTGTAATCTGTTGCCATAGGTGATTTTACTGTATGCAATACCATTTTCTATAGGAATTTTTTTGTGCCTTGGTAATTCACCTTTTCTTCTTAGAACAAAGACTCTACATGTCAAAACTCCATATTTCTATAAATATAGAAATCTTCATCCAAGACAAATATATATAATTTTTGTTGAGAACATCAATATTCATGGATTAGGAAGAATTAATCTGTCTTCACATCGTTTTTTTTTTTTTCCTTGCTTAGAGATAAATCCTTTAGGATGGATCCTTTTTCTCTTATTAGAAAGGTTTGTATCATGCTCAATTTTTAAAATCAGCCATGGCATTTCAGTTAAAAGAAAAGTGGTATGACTTTCACTTTTTCTGTATGTATGCAGCTTAACAAAATTATACAGTAAAGAAAATTAAGTGATACACAGCTTCCAGTATAAATAGATTTGGAAGGGATTGCTTAAACTGTGTTACCTGTGTGAAATAACAGGAGCAAATATGATTAATAGTTATCTTAGTTACCCAGGCACCCAGCACCTCCTTCAGTATGAGTTTCTGAGGGTATACAGGATTATTGGCTGCATTTCTGTTTCCTGAATATTTTATGTTGAAGTACATACTAATAAAACAACTACTTCATTACTACTTAGTATGAAAATTTACTTCATGTTATTAGATAACTTTTTTAGACAACAGTTTTTTGCAACAAGCAGCTAAATACTTATATTTTAATCCAAATAGCAATCTTCACTGGTAATAGATTAATTACAGTCATGTATTATATGGGTAAATTTTGGTTTACCAAGTTAATGCAGTCCCAGTTCCATTAGAATAGTTTAAGTGATGATGGCTTTCAGTCAGTTTTTCTCAGTTTCAAAGACCCTTCCTTTCTGATGTTTCTGAGCCTTCTGTTTATCTCTCAAAATTCTCTCTGGATGTTGTTTTCCATTACTAATTCTACTCAAAAGATGGTTAATATTGGTGGCCAATCTCATTTTAGCTTAAGCAGCCACTGGGTGCAGATTTCCTCATGCTTGTACCATCGGCCCCTGCAACAGGGCACCATCACACATCATCATTGCTTACAGCAGTTCTGATTTCTCCTGCTAGAATATGAACTTCTTTGTTTCTTTCTGCATTGTATTATCTTCTCAGGCAGCATCCAGGCTCTCTCTTCATTTTCCACTTTTCCTGTTGTTCCACCAGGAGGGCAGGCCATCCCCAACTGGGGAGGTTTATTTTGGTATCTGTAAAGGTGGGGCATAAACAATTAGTCACCTTTTTCTTTATGCCAGTCTTCAGTTAGTGGTCTGCTAGTTCCAGAATCACTTCCCTGGTTTTTCTGTGTTGTTTCCATGTGTGTTTGTTCTAAGTCTGACTATTTCCTTACTACAGTATTTCCTACCATTGTATATGTGCATGAACTCTTCTCTGCCTCTTTTCACTTTGTCATCCTCCTTTTGCCACTTTTACCAGAGAAGAATATATGAGAGTGAATGCTGACAAAAAAAGAGCAGTTTTTATAGCATCTGAGTCATGCACTGTGATGGACTTTTTGTTTGTTTATCTTGCCTGCTATTTTTTAGTGTCCCCTAGATCACTTCTTCCCTCATATGGGTTGCCGTCTCTTTCTGTACTGTTCCAGTGTGTACGGGCCCTAAAACTAAATACATTTCTGTGTCCAGTACATCCACTACAGGTCTTAAAATATACACTGGTCATAATTCAAGGCTTGTCTTTCTCTACCACATACAATTCAAACAGAGACTGACAGCTTTTTCTGGTCTCTGCTTTCTTTTGGCTTGTGATCCATCCCCGGATGATACAATATTTCAAATTCTGTGCCTGTTTTTCAGGCTCCTAGAGTGTTGCATATTCGCTCACAGCTGGCAGTTGCTACTGCAGGAACAGCTGGATTGCAACAATCTGCATCTCCAAGGCTTAGTCCCTGCTGAATGTCCCAGCCATTCCCTCAGCCCAGACATTTCTTCTACAAAAGGAGAGGAAGACAGGTATTTCTAGGAGCAGAGTGGACATGTGTAGTAAGAGGTTAGATTTGGTTTTCTCCTTCCTTGATTCTCCTATCAGTCTACCAGATATTGTCCTTTACAGGTAAAGCCATAAAATAAAAACAGTCTATACTCAGCTGGGCCATGAGAAAGGGACAGAGACCGAAATCTCTGATCACACAGGACTATGATCAGGGGCTTTTAAAGCAAGTATAATCAGATTTGGTGCTTCCATTCAGTATCCACCTATCATCAGCTTTCTCTGACTGCCATCTGTTTTCTCTTCTTACTCTCAGATTTTCAACAAAGTTTCCCTGTCCTTCACAAAACCTGCTACTTGCCATGGCGAGGTTTGGCTGGAGTAAGTCACAGCCAGGTCATAAATTGATGTAACTACTGTTTCTATGCCTTCCTTGGATTGTTAGTGATCCTGAAGCACCTGTGCTGCCCAAAATTCTTTTATTTTATAGTAAATGAGATAATTGCCAGCAAACAGGACTGCACTGCTGCTGCATTCAATCCCAGTCTTCTATGATGACTGTAGGCTTCCTCCTACAAGTTTTTTCAGAGGTTTGGTTGTTCAGCAACGCAACTAGAAGGATTCAGACAGTTTGTTACACTGAAAATCTTTGCTACACCATATACGCACTGATAAGAATTTACTGTTAGCCCAGTATATAGTCTAACAGTATAATATATCTGATTAATGAAGAAAAGTCTCACTTTTCGGATGTTCTGGTCACCTTTCCAGTTGCTTCTGAGTCCTGAGCTTGGCAGTCTTCCTGATGCAGACAAGAGATGGGACTTGCTTTGTAGTCATCAGCCCCCGAGGCCTACAGAAGAAGAACAGTGATGTTTACGTCGGGGGATTCTAATTCCTCAGCTTTGGGTAAGTTTGCTTTTATTTTTAAACCTTATAACATCTGCTTCCCTCTTACCTATTCCCAGCTAGTTTGAATATTGTGCAATATCTTTACTCCTGGGATCTCAGATTTCTACCATCCTCTGCAATTTTATTCCTCTATCACTCAACCATTTACTTTGCTAAAATCAGTAGTTTCAGCAATATAAAACTGTAATTCCTTGGTGGAGAATCCAGGAGACAGGTTAGAGACAGGTTGATTTTTCAAAATCACAGTAGTTTTGCTGAAGTGCGCAGTCAGCAGAGCTGTATAAAACTGGAGGTTATTGCATTGTTAAGTTCAAATTTGTCATTGAGCTTCTCAGGAAAAGCATCTATAAATGGAAGACATCATGGATGTTCATACTATTCAAAGGCCTGTTTTACAGTCTGTCAGCAATTCAGTAATTTGTCAACACAGAATATAAAAAAACTTAAGGCAAATATCTCTTCCCATTTATTCTGCTTTTGTAGCATTTACCAAATTTATGTTAAAATCCCAACAGATCTTATGAAAAACCTTATATCTATGGCTTTTGGGACCCTGAGCAAATCAGCTCATTGTGCACTAGTCTTACATTAGCCAACTGTTGATAAATATGCTGTAGAAATACTTAAGCATTCAAAATCCTGTGTCCTGGTAAAAAATTACAAATATTTTTATGTGTTCTTTTATTCCAGTTCTTTTTTCTCAAAGAATTTGAAATGTGAATAATTGTGTTGGAATAAATGAGAACACACAGACCTTTAATTATTCTGGGTCTCTGAAACCCATGAGCCATTTGCTTTGTGCTATCACAGAAACTCATAACACAGTGTTCCAGCCAAAATTATCATTACAGATTTATATTGTTATAGGTTGTTATATATATTATTATAAATATATCATAATATATTGTTATATATTATATGCTATATAATAGGATTGTTATATGCATTATTGTATTTATATTTTGTTATAGATATATATTTTTGCTTTAATAATTAATAATAAATAACCTTCTATAAATTTAACATTTTTTTAATCAGTGATACAATTTACTGCCTTTGGTCAGTCAGGTTGATAGTAATGAAGTAGTAGCCATAATAATACTCTCTATTAAGAATAGTACACTATAAAGTAGGAATATTTCCAAAAGTCTTTCATGTTTTACACTCATTAAAGCTTAATCTCATAAAGCACACTGAGTCCTCTCCTGACTTGTTTCTGGTTGTCATTATCTGGTTCTATTACTGTCTGTGGTCAAGGAATTAACTTGTGCAAATAAAGAGGTTTCTTCATTCATAGGTTAATTGTACACACTGTTAGAATTATTTGTTCTATTTTATCCTTCTGCTGTTTCAGCTGCACACAGTTAATATACTGAATTACTCTTAAAATTAATGAATTACCTGTTGCTTCTTGACCTAAGCACTCCTGCAGCTGTCTCCTCAGCAACTCCTGCATTGCCATCTGATTCAACACGTGCACAAGGAACACTTGCAAAGGGAGCTGAGTCATTCTCTAAATCTGGAACATCATCCTCGGAGCACAAAACTTTCCTCTGCAGGACTTAAGGGCAAGTATTAACTGTGTCATATTGCATAGGATGTTTTGGCTTCTCTTACTTTAAATTACTAGTGTGTCTTACTGAAAAGCACATAATTTAGCTGTATCCACCAAAATTTTCTTTGTGTTGCAAAGTGCCAAATACTTATTTATGTTCTTACTTCTGTGTTCTTTTTCCTTTTCTTTTAATTAATTATAATTTCAAACTAGACTCACATCTTCACTGGATTGTTTTTAGTACATATATGTAATTTCTGTGAACTGTGACTACTTTGCTGTCATTCAGGAACCCTTGAGTCTCAAGGAACATAACCTCCTGTACAATCAGACTGTTATTCCAGTCAGAACATTAAAAGATGCTCACTGTGAATATCAGTCTGACTTAAGTCATGTGATATAGCTAACATTTAAGAGGGCTGATGAATGAGGACATGTATTATACACCTTAAAAGTGAGGAAAAAGCAAGATCAGCTGTTTATGTCTTATTACTTTCTTAGCACTATAAAATATCATACACATTCTTTGCATTTTTAAATGGATGGACTCGTTTCCATCTTGTCTCTGTGCTTGCCAAAATGTGTGCTCTGGTAGGTTGAAACCACTCTAACACTACTACAAGTGATTAATACTAGGATTTTTCTCAGGTTTATGTCCAAGTTGCTGGGTTACTTGAAGCTCTGAATAAGATTTATATGAAGACTTGTGAACAGCTCTGTATATGAGTTACATTGCTCAAAATAAAGCTTTTCAGCTGACTTCTTCAGTATAATTCTTTTCATGTTTTAGGAATTTTCATGCTAGGTCTGTTTTTGTAAATACTGCCTTTATTAAATTTTTAAAATCCCAAAGTAATACTTTTTGCTTTAGGTTTATTTTCTTGATTTATGTGCTAACATGTTTATCTTCTCCCTCTCTCTTGTCTAGTTCTTTTTTGTTTTAACACTGATTTTTTCCCTTTGTTTTACAGTAAGTCATGTGGCATTGACATCTCTAAAAAATTTAAAATTAACGTGGACGAAAATTAAACAGCATATCGATGGATGAGATAGACATGATGGTTTCTCCACGATGTCATTGCATGTTGATGAAGGGACAGCACTATGAAATATGAGATGCTAATGTCATCAAAATACTACCCTGGCTTTGCAAGGAGTTGCACAAGGAGCCATTCCTTTTCTGCAAAAGGAAGGCTTGATTATTTATAACTGTAAAAACAAAAACAGAAAAATAACTGCCATATGTTTCCTGTTTTCTTAATTTCCTTTCTATTCCATGAAGTGTAGATATTCCTATTAATTAAAAAAAAAAGGCAAACTATCACCTCTTGTCTCTGTTTTTCTTAAATCTAGAAATGTTTTGCAAATTTAATTTAAAACAATGTCAAATGTCTTGCCCTGTTTTTTTCATTTTTAGAATGAAGTGTTTCAGCTTTTGGTGTCTGTCCTGCTTGTTCACATGATTTCATTTTTATATCAGGGTTCAGTTTTTCATAAAAATCAAGACCTTTTTCAATACTGAGGACCTGTAGTGGGTTGTGTTGTATTGCTGTACTAAATTAAATTAATTTTATAACCTATTCAATATTCAGAAACATGAAAACAAGTTTTTCTCTGAGTTTAAATCATGTATACTATGCCTTTAAGTTTAATATATTTTACATAGTGCTTTGCATATTAACTGAAGAAGGTTTGATTAGTTTTATTATTTTCATTCTTTTAAAAAAAGTCTTTTGCATTGCGTATTATCTCTGTTAGTAAAAAGTATAAAATCTTCTCTGATAACTTTCTATTCTATTAGAGAAGATTCAACAAAGCCTTTAATTTCTTTTGTCTTACATTGTAAACCAGGATAGTTAAGGGAAAAAAATCTTTCAAGAACATGCTGTCTGTTTGTAAATATAATACTGTAATTCATCATTAGAGATAACACACAGGGGTTATAGCTGTGTGAGCTATTTAAAAATCAAAAACAGCACACTCGGAGTGCAGCCCTGTTTGAAGGAGCAGTACATAAAAGTTACTCCTCAAGAACATAGCGTTCTGAAGGGCAACCAAATATAATTATTTCATGTGGTGCCACATAATTGAGATGACTTGGAATTCCCCCTCTTGTAGCACTTCTGATCTGTCTCTTAAGTTTGACAGGGTAAGGTTAAATCTCCTTCTGTCACGGGTTGGGAAGTACTCGTGGTGTTAAGAATAGCTCATTAAAAGTGGATGGAATGTCTCATGTACATATTAATTACCATAACACTAAGTGAATGTGTCTTTGCTGGCAGAATGACACACTTTGCTGCTGTATCAATGAAAACTGAGTTTCTTGTTTGTTAAAACTAGGTCCAATGAAATAAAAACATGGGAAATGGAGCAAGATTTTTTTTTTAATATACATTTCTGTTCTAAACAAGTCAGCACCTATTTCTTCTAAGAGAGAATTTGAATTGAACATACGACCATGATAATCTGGGACTAGAATTTATATCTGGAAAATTGAGTGCCTCTATCTTTTTTCAACTGAACTTGCATGATATTCCTGTTACCTGTGGATACTTAGCACACTGCCACTGCTAGGCATTTTGACATGGCTATTCAAATGCCATTTTGAGTGATTTTTCTGTAAGGCTATGATTATCAAGACCCAAAAGGAACATTAAATTACTGAGCATGTTCTTCTACCAATTTGACTGAATATTCCCAGAAATGTTTCTAAGAATTCACTGACTGTCAGACAGCAATGCCTTTATATCCAGTAGCACTGTCTCCCACGGGATCAGAGCAGTTGCTGGACCTTGCCTCTGTCTAATCTCTTCATTGCAGTCTTTGTGAGTGACAGGGCTCTGCCCACGTATTACTGTAACAGAACTCCCCTGAGACACCCTCCTTTGAACCTGAGGAGCCTCCAGCAACCCAGATTCTTTATTTCTGAATATAAATCTCCTTCTCATGAGTGTATCTCTTTAATGTCTGGCTTTCAGTACATCTGATTCTTCCTACTTTGAGTGTCCCACAGCTAGCAGGTTTTCATGAACCCCAAAGAGGCACCTCTCTGTTTCTAACCTTATTAACACAGGATGATTTGCCACTGTGTGACAATTCTCTCCGGGTACCCCACCACTGTGCATGGACTTGTGATCTCTCCAAGAACTGTTTTGCAGAAGAAAGCAAAACGTTTCTCCTTCTGTAGCTTGGTGGAAAATACTCCAATACATGCAGGAAGCCATCCTGCCAACAGTGTGCCAAGCAGTACTGCCAAGAGCCACGGGTGTCCCGCTCAGCAGCCACTGTGTTTTTCACTGCTGCTCTGGAGAGCAGCCCCCTGGCTGGGTTTGCCCTGAGTCTGGATTGTAAAACTTCAAACTGGAAAGCAAGGTTATAAACTAGAGAAAGGCAAAGTTATTCCTCAGTTCCAATTCCACCACTTCTTTTTTCATAACCCTTGATGTATTCTTGGAAATATTGCCAATCGCAATCTGTGTCTGCTTCCTTAATAAATTTCAAGCAAATTCACTAAGCAGATGAAGTGAGATATGTGTAACATTCCTGAAGCAGTTATTCCCCCAAGTTCTAGTCAAGTCAGAGGCACTTACTCTGCTGGTTAGCAGGATCAAATAACTCCTTTATTAGTTGTTAGAGAAACCTTAGCCTAGGTTTATTTTAACTGCTGCATCAAAAAAAACATGATTGTTTGTAACAGGATGATTCTTTGTGATATTACAGATGGTAAATGTTTGGGGTTTTTTTGCTTTTTTTTTTTGTTGGACCTGGTTCTTTAGCCACCCCAGGCAGCCATCTTATGTTCCTCTCTTCTCAAAGAAACATCTGTGGGAGAAAGGGGGCAGTCTGAGGCCTCAGGAGAGTTCTCAAAGCCCAGCTCACAGATGAGACAGTTTATTGTAATTCATTTCCTAATCTACTTCATACTGCTCTACAGCATTATTCATTCTTCTCACACTTAGGACTTTTAAAATTTTTTTCAGTCTGCCATACCAAAAAGCAAGTACAGACCTTATTTAATCCTGAAGAGCGGGGATGTTAATTGGGTTGAAAATGGTAATGATGCATCTAATTCTGTCTTATCTACACTGCTCATCCTGCTCTCAGGACACCCGAGTGCACCTGCATCCCAGAACAGAGGCTTGAACATGTATTTTTCTGTGTTACACCCAGCTTCTCCCTTGACCCATTATCAATGGTACATTACCCAGTGACTCAAATATGAATCCCACAATATTTCGTCTCATTCTATTTCTCAGTAAGAGCAAGTACATGCTCAAAACATTTTTGATGTATATTGCCTCAGCTAAAGCATAATTAGCTTCATGAAAAGGAAGTGGGTTAACCAGCCCCACCTTAGCTGAAACCACTGTCACCTTTACATTTCAGACTTTTATTTGGTTCTTCAGCTATTTCAATTACCAGTCAAAGGAGGGTTTTAAGTCCACAGCATAATAATACTTGCAATTACTAGTAAATAGCATTTCACAGCACTAACCAGTCTGTCCTTACTACATCCATTTCAGGCAGGCAAATGTTATTATCCTCATTTTACAAACACATTGATTAAGTGACTTACCTAAAGGCCACACATCAATTCCAATGTCAGTAGCAAGATTAGCACAGAGAAACTTCTGTACTGCAGACACAGAAAAAAGTGATTGTTATTATCAAACCCACCCCCCTTCAGAAAGAAACAATAATTTTTCAGCTGTGTAGTCAAATAGCATTTACCCTCCTCACATCCCCCATATATTTTGTCCACCTCCAGCTGCTCCCTGATGAAGGCTCAAAATGGTTCCTAAATATGTCTTTAACATAGGAAGCTTTTCTATCTGCCTTCTGCTTTTAACACAAGGGTTGGAAAGCACTGCCTGGAGAACCTGTGAAATTCCCACAGTGGTATCTGAGCCTATGGAGGCAGAAGGTAAGGGAAGGGAAGGGGGCAATGGGCCCATGCTGCTCTCCAAAAGGCAATGTGAAGATGAGTAATGATAAGAGGAAGCA